GTGGGACGTTGAGAATGGCAACTCCAACATTTGGATTATCCAGTTATCCAATGAGGCATTACCTGTTCTAGATCTGGTTTCCGTACCGTTTGTGTCCCTGATGGAGACACAGTGGTGTTGAAACATTAGTAATTCTAGTCCCTTTTTTTCTCTTGGCGATATTTTCCTTAGTTTTTGTATTAACTCCATGTCAGTGTTGCTGCTGTTCGTAGTAAACTAATTAATTCAAACTTCTAAAAGTTGTTGAGTCAACATTGTTGGGCAAAGAGCACAACCCACCTGCCCTGAACCCTGTGTGAGGTGTGCCTGTCTGCACCAGTGATTCTCAAGGACCCACTCCTTCAGAGTCTGACCTACAAGACGAAATGCTGGAGTCACTACAGTGAATCAATGCAAAATCCCATCACTCAAACCCCATCACTTTGACTGATTTCACAGTTTGATTATTTGGTTATGTGTTCATCTTTTCAGACAACATGCATGTTTTAATAGTATGGAGTACATTTACCTAGTATCAACAAATGCAGATATTTCTTCTATATTCTAGCCCACCATTTTAAATGCCTTACATCTGAGACTAATTATTCCTTGCTAGTGTGTGTACATACACCAGTTATGAAGCATTTACACAATGTTACCCGAGGGCTTAGAACGGCAACACAGGGAAATGTTGTTTCTTCGTTGTGTTGAACGCAATAAGTGCTCTACAACTGAAAGTGAATCTGGTGTTGACAGAGGTGTTAAGGTGGAGCAGACAATGCAGCAGCGGCTCTTACAATGTGGTTCAAGGCTGTGTCGCAGTTGTGTACTTGAGCTGCACAATGCTTTGGTATGGGCGAGGAAGGGACACATCCCATAACCAAGGCCCTCTGTGGATCAAAACAGCTCCCCTACATAGTTCAGTGAATCTAATTGTTATTATGGAAGTGATTAAAAACTGTATCGCAAAACTGCTGCACTGCATAAAGGCAGATAAACAACACATTACACAATGTGCCACATCTTTAACTTGAAGGAGAGTAAAGGTTGTGAGTCAGCAAGTGGGACAAAAATACCACTGATCAGACTAAATACGAATGACTGTTTTTAGTGTGGCACCGTATCCTGATGGGACAATGAAGGGAGGTCAGATATCCAGGTTTCACCTTTTGTTCTCTTCAGATGACAGACAGGCTGCTTCGGCAAGATGTTGACCCCTTTAATTGTCTCTTTTGGTATGTTTGCTCTCCAACATGGAAGATTGTGCTCTATTAATGTGCACTTCCTCCACCAGCAGCGCACCAAACAGTTACTGTTCATGATCCACCCTGTGCTTTATCAGATGGAAACGGACGATATGTTGTGATGACCCAGACGTGACGTCTTTAAGTCATCATCTTTGTTGTAACCTTAATGAGAACATAACACTTGTAGAGGATGCTTTGTGAGCACACACTCAGACACAGTCCCCTGGGGGGCCTGTCGTTGTAGGCGGGTGCTGCCTAACCCGCCCAGGAGATGCATGACCCAGATGCTTGATGAATGGACGTGAATAGTATAGGTGTGGCGCAGGTCAGGCGACGTTCATCAAAAGTGAACAGGAAATCAGCGACATGGACTCACGCAAAGTCAAAAAAACTATAAATAAACGTGTTATAGTTGGTAAGATTTGAAAAAACGTTAAAGGGAAGATGTATAAAAAATATGCATGTGAACATGGGGAGAAATATCTCTATAGATCTTTAAAAATAAGTGATAAGACTTTAGTGCGTTGCCCTGGGAAATCAAGACATGCTTGATTACAAGCACGGTCAAGAACAGAAGTCATAGCAGAGAAAAATGTGTGATAGGTTTAACAATGTAATATTTTTCTGATATTTTATTGCATAATGGAGCCAGTCAAGCTGCAGTATGAGACATACAGTACACATTTCAATTTACATCTAAGGGCCGTTAGACACATTCTCTTGAGCTCAGCTCTTAACCCCCGCAGAAACGACATGTCGTGAGTGACAAAATACCACAGAAACATGAGGCGACATGAATAATTCTTCAGAGAGACATGATTCATGAAGTCTAACAATGTAGAAGCCTGCCTTGAAGAGGCACTAGTAGATGGAGAGGAGCAGCAAACGGAAAGGGATGGGAGAGGTAAGGAGACAGGGACACAAGGAGGGGTTTGGCTGCCAGCAGTCAGCCTCATAGAAAAGGTCACTTCCAAAGTAGCCTGCCATGGGGGGTCGGGACAAGCATCCCATAAAGCAGATAAAGAACAATAGCAGGAACCATAGGCCACAAAATAAATGGAGCCAATCCCTGGCGAAAAGAATAGAGAGGCCCCGTTAGATCAGGACACACACACTCAGCATGAAGGAGACAGGGAGGATGAGATATTTATATAATGTGATTAATGCTAACGCAACAAGCCATCGTGAGGTATGCTGCCAGACATAACTCCACGCCTCACAACAACTCATAAAGCTTGTCTTCCAGGAAAGAGCTGCCCTTCAGAAACATCAATAACGCTGTTAATGTAAACGTAGAGTGTATAAAATGTATTTAATTTCCCATATTTAAAAACTTGAAGTGATCTTAAACAAGTGGGTCTTACTCTTAACCAGGGATACAATGGCCACCAGGGGTCCTTGAGGGGGTTTTATGTGGCCCACAGAAAAATGGGGAATAGTTTATTTTCACTATTTAGTTAACTTTAGAAGTGAGCCCAATATGAGTATGAGTGATAAGAGTGACGCTATTGATCATAGGGTTGATTTCCTCCATGGTTATTATTATGATTTACTTTAGTTGACATATCTGATCTTAATCATCTTTATCAACCAATTGTGTGGATACCCTGTTTGCTGTTGCTTTTTGGCTAATGGAATGCACATTGGATTGTAAAAGTGACACAACTGTATTCGGGCTCGGTGTGCCACTCAGGTATTCCCATTTTCATTGTTTAAATTTATAAAGAGCTGTCTGTGTTATGAGGGTGCATAAGGGTTTCGTCTAGTTTGGGGTTAACACTCCATATCCTTTTCCATTCAACGCATTGTTCCTTTTACCACTGATTAATATCTTGTTTAAACAGCCCGCAGACACACCACGCCGTCTGTATGTTCATAAATCCTCTGGAGCTGATCAACACAATGGCCCACATTCCTGACATTTAAAGGAAGTCCCTTATATCTCTGCATCTCCTCTCCACACGAGAGACAGACGTTCTAGGAATATGACACAGGAACAAAAACAACTCTCTCGTCGCTGTCTGTTTATTTCATTTAGTTAAAACATTAGTGAGACATCACACTTTGGGGGGTGTCCAGCCAGTGCTCTACCTTTGTAACACATCGCTGGACCTCTCACCTACACCCTCTCGGACTCCAGTTACATCTTTAGCAAGGTTTCCTCTCTCATGGAATAACAACAGGCGGGCAACATCTCCTTCAACATTAGCCATTGTTTTTCTTTTTCAAATTTAGAATCAAAAATAGTCATAGAAAGAAATGGAGACATTTATCAGGGTTAGATCATTTGACCTGACTCCAGCACTGCGCTGTATGTGGGATTACCAAACACGCCCTGTATTCCTCTGGGCTGATTAAGCGAAGCAATATGTGATAATACAAATTATTTTATCTTCATTAGATTAAAACTGTGGTTATAAAGGTTTTTACATTACAGTAACAATGAATCAAATAAAATGGGTCAGAGGTCATGCAGTAATAAACTCCAAGTTATCATCCGACTCTGCAGCTCTTTAACCTCTTTTAGCTAGTAGTTTCAAGGGGCACATCTTTGCTGTACTTTAGTTTAATTTTCTCTAGCAGCATTATGGCCCCCTGACAATCCCAGTTATAACTTATACAGTCTATGAGTTATACATACTGTACGCTTGTGTTCATGTTACCATGCTTGATGATCAATTACATTTTTACCTAATATGGCCACAAGGTAGAACCGACCCACAAATGTTAGATGCTTTATCATCTTTGATGTAGATTTACATTTGTCGGTTCATTTTCAATGGCTTTACACTTTCCGCCCTTCTTTCCAAGGTCTAGGCCCATTCAAGTCAAAGTCCTTGGGTGTTGTCAAGCACAACAATTGAAAATGGTGGCATTGCCTGCACTTCCTCACGTAGCCCCATGAGATGGGAGAGCACCCATACATACCCTTTTGCCTCTTACTCGCTAAAACTTCAAAGAAGTACAGTTCTATTTCAATGAAATTATGCTTAGACTTACAAGCGTAATCTTTGCAAACAATATGTTATGACGAGCAGACACACATATCCTGTTTTATCTTGTATTTCTCCCACCCTTGGATTCACTGACAGATAACAACATCTCACTCATCGAACACAATCTCTAATCAGAGTCAAGGTGTGGTTTGATCCATGAACCAGGCTGCCATGTGTGATTGAGTTTCACAAGGGTCTCATGGGTACCAGACCCCTTTCCTTGTGGCTACACAGTTTAAACACCCATCCATTACGGACATCCATCCTTCTCGGAAATGAAACTCTTATACCAGACAGGGTTTGAGGTTACACCTCAGCTCCAGCAACAATACCACCTTGATCCCTTTAGACGTTTCACAGTGGTATACATTGTATGACTTAATTGTGCTCCCTCTGAGCCTGTACCTCCCGCGGAGGACATAAGGGATGATATACTGTGTTTTGCACAAGGTTTGTGTGTGTGTGTGTGTGTGTGTGTGTGTGTGTGTGTGTGTGTGTGTGTGTGAGTGACTGTGTGTGTGCCTGACGGGTTGTGAGTTTGTGTGTGTGTGAGATGGGTCGTGAGGGTGTGTGTGTGTGTGTCTGTGTGTGTGTGTGTGTGTGTGTGTGTGTGTGTGTGTGTGTGTGTGTGTGTGTGTGTGTGTGTGTGTGTGTGTGTGATGGGGTTGTGACTTTGTGAGTAAGGTTGGATGTCTGACTTTCTGTGGGAAGAAAAATCCTTCCAGCAGTAGGACCCAGAGGATTTTAGTAGGAAAGACCAACTGGACCAGCACACCTTTATGTTGTCTGAGGCAGGACAAAGATGTGAAAAAAAGTTGTTGAACACTGTAACAAAAAAGGTCGAGCTTTGAGCCATTTCATTGGCTAAGAAGAGTGAGAGAGGAAAATGCAATGGCTCTTGAGGTCAGAGCAAAGGCAGCTATAAATGAATCACAACAGACAGACAACACCTTTACTGACTCCACAGCAGCGCTTGTGCTCATCTCAAAAGGGGCAATATGAGCGCGTCTGTGGCCGTGTACAGGAATATTTACACGGAGGACCGCTTCAAGCAGGCCTATGGCTCAGATGATATCACGAGTGGAAGTCTGCGGCTCCGGGAGAAGCTCGCGGGGAGTTGCAGGTGTTCAAGACGAGCGTGCCTCCACCTGTTGAGCGAGAGAGTTCCCATTTTCAACTGGCTGCCACGATACAGACTGAAGAAATGGATTTTAGGAGACACAATTGGCGGCCTGACGGTCGGTATTCTCCACATTCCGCAAGGTGAGCTAACAGAAAAGCATCTGGATCAAAGTTGATGGCATTAATAATGCACTGTTATAAGTGTTTCATTTTAGAGTCATTTAACCAGGATTTTTCAAAAATAAATAACACCTTTACAATGATAACATAACTTAAAATGCTAATAATATGTTAATGATAATTATGAATATAATTAATTTGATGATAAAAAACCTATACAACAAAAACAATAAATAAATAATACACGCAATAGTTATTAATATGACTACAATTATTATTGTAAACAACTATCCAAATAATTTGAAGTATTGCAAGGTTATGATAACATTTCTATTAATTAACAGTTTGATGAAAACTATCAAAGTGGAGATACTAAACTTATTATTATTGTCAACTATTATTGTTGTACTCATCATGCATGAGCCATATTAGCCTGCATAAAGGTTTAACATTCTGATCATGTCTTTACTGATAAACTCTTTCCTTCCCTAAACAGGCATGGCCTTCGCCTTACTCACATCTGTGGCACCAATATTTGGCCTTTACACCTCCTTCTTCCCTGTGGTCCTCTATATGTTTTTTGGCACAGGTCGTCACGTTTCCACAGGTAAGCCTCATGTCCATATAACATCAGCTGTTTACATCTTAGAGAAGCAATACAACACTTTTTTTTAACAGGGTTACATTATCTCATGCATTCTTCCTGACCTCAATATCTCAGTTATTATGTTTAAACTGTTACTAATGTGATATATTGTTGCCTTCAGGTACCTTTGCTGTGGTGAGTCTGATGACTGGCTCTGTGGTGGAGCAGCTGGTTCCCACTCCTCTGGATATGAACTCCAGTTCCCCTGAAGCAGCTGACTTCGAGGCCCAGAGGATCGGGGTTGCCTCAGCTGTAGCACTTCTCTCAGGAATTATTATGGTAAGAAAGTAACGGTCACAAACTCAAAAAGTAATACAACTGAGATGACAGATCTTTGTATTTGTTGAGACTAGGACTTGATTCCCCAACAGAGCAATAACTACAATCTCTTGTGCCCCAGCTCTGTATGTTCTGTCTTCAGCTGGGCTTCCTCTCCACCTATCTGTCAGAGCCAATTGTTAAGGCTTTCACCAGCGCTGCTGCCTTCCATGTCACAGTGTCACAGATACAAAGCATGCTGGGACTGCGGCTCCCTCGCCACACTGGGACCTTCTCACTCTTTAAAGTAAGCACCGTTTCACTTTGACATCTTAATGGTCTGATCCAACATGTCATTTTTGGAATTTGCTCACTGTGTGTTCAGACTTTAGCGTCAGTGATGGAGAACCTGCCTCACACCAACATGGCGGAGCTGCTGATCTCCATGGTGTGTTTGGCTGTTCTGGTGATAGTTAAAGAAATCAACATGCGTTACAGAAAGCGCCTTCGTACACCAATCCCTGTGGAGATCCTTACGGTTAGTCATCTGGATTTTGAATGTTGAGGATTTTCTCTTAACGATGTAATCAGGTTATAATTCATTGTTTTATCTTTCCTTCTCAGGTGATTATTGCTACAGGTGTGGCCTACGCCTTCTCGCTGGATTCTTCTTACAACATTGAGATCGTTGGCCACATCCCAGCTGGGTAATCTTTTCGAAAAAAAGAAAAACAGACAACGTTTTTTTCGGAAATTTCAAGGAATTTGAATTCTTCTATCCTCAGATTCCCAAAGCCACGGATGCCTGCCGTGCACACTTTCCCTGACATCGCTGGAGACACAGTAGCCATCACATTTGTTGGATACGCTGTGTCGGTGTCTCTTGCAATGATTTATGCCGATAAACACGGCTATTCCATACATCCAAACCAGGTATGTGTGAGAATGTCACAGCTATTTGTAGACATGTCATGCTCTCACAAATCTGTTAACTTTTTGTTTTGAACCTGTGCTTTATTTCAGGAGCTCCTGGCTCACGGTATCTCCAACACGGTATCCTCTTTCTTCACCTGCTTCCCCAGCTCAGCCACTCTCGCCACCACTAATATACTCGAAAGTGCTGGAGGATACACACAGGTAGGTTACATGATGTACAAATGTTTCTGTCACATTCACAAACCTTTGATCTAATTAAGCGACACATTGCCGTTCAAACGTAAACATACCCGTCGCACCAAGAACAAAAAAAGGAAACACTCTTTTGCATATTGTTCATCACTCTCAAATTGCAACTTTAAATTAATATATATCCATCCATCCATCCATCTTCTCCCGCTTATCCGTGGTCGGGTCGCGGAGGTAGCAGTTCCAGCAGAGAGCCCCAAACTTTCTTTTCCCTGGCCACATCAACCAGCTCTGACTGGGGGATCCCAAGGCGCTCCCAGGCCAGCGAAGAGATATAATCCCTCCATCTGGTTCTAGGTCTACCCCTTGGTCTCTTCCCAGCTGGACGTGCCTGGAACACCTCCCTAGGGAGGCGCCCAGGTGGCATCCTAACTAGGTGCCCGAACCACCTCAACTGGCTCCTTTCGACGCGAAGGAGGAGCGGTTCAACTCCGAGTCCCTCCCGGATGACCGAACTTCTCACCTTATCCCTAAGGGAGACACCAGCCACCCTGCGGAGAAAACCCATCTCGGCCGCTTGTACCCGCGATCTCGTTCTTTCGGTCATGACCCATCCTTCATGACCATAGGTGAGGGTAGGAACGAAAATGGCGCGGTAGACAGAGAGCTTTGCCTTCTGGCTCAGCTCCCTTTTCGTCAAGGCAAGTCAAACGCAATAATTTGAGAACTTCTATTAAGTGGTTCCGAAACTTTTTTTAATTTTTATTGGCCACATACAATCTGAAATGCAAAGAGAACCAAGAATAAAAACCAAATTCAGATTGAAGAAACCAGTCAGCGAAATGGATCCATTCCTGTTGGGAGAACAAAGTTTAAAATAGCCGTTCAGAATAAATGTATATTGCAATACGAAACCCTTACCTTCAGGAATTCATATCTGTGATGGTAAATGGCCCTATGACTGCTTTTTGTACCATTCCATGGTTCTCTGCAAAAATATATATTTTAGTACAAGTCAACCAAACAAGTGTAATACAGCAGAAGTTGTGTACATACCTGACGCTACACTCCTCTGCCTCCTTGACTTGCATTTCGATTCACAGCAGTCACAAAGATTGCTCTGGGCCAAGTTGTCCAGCAACTCCCAACTGAGTTCATGAAGATTGGATGAAAAGATAATTAAAATGCATCTCAACTCTTTCAAATAAAGTCTCCACAAAGTTTGAATAGTTATGAACGGGATCCATCTGTATCTTCAGTAGACTGGGCTTAAGCTGAATAAGTCATCTCATGTAAACCAAATTAACCTACAAGTCAAATTCTGATATATTAAAGTACTATTTTTACCCATGCCCTTCGACAAAGTGGCAGGCTTTCTTAGTGCTGTCAAGACCATTGGGATCCCAAGCCAAAAGTTTGCAGTGGGTAAAGACCTGTTGAGTAGAGGGGAAATATAGNNNNCATGGCATAAATTAATCTCAGTTTCCACAATAAAACCTTGAATCTGAAAAAATGTAATGACCATTTACCTCTTCTCCCATAGCAAACGTAAAGGTCTGAAGTGATAATGAAGCATACTTGACCCAGGATGACGGGTTGCACACGGTAGACAGGGTAGTCCATCTTGAAAATGATTAACTCCACTGAACACAGTAACTTTTTATGACCGTAAATTACTTGAAATTACCCGGCACACTCAGCTATATGGGACTTAAGAAAGTGAAAGGGTAAAATGTAACTCGACGAACGTGTCTCATATGAAGACTGTCAAATGTAGTGTCGGCTCTCCCGACGTACCCACTAGGCCAGCACCATAATATGATACGTTAATAATATACAACTCGGATAAACTTTTCTGTTAAGACAACTTAAATAAAAGACCCGTGAGTACGGACGACAACCTTACATCGTATCAAATGAAAGACCGGACTAAATTTTAGTTACCCTACCGGACGTACCGTGCCACAAATACGTCAATTTTTAGTATCGTTTGTCGATTCATAAGTCTAACACTCACACCTATAAAGAGTTATTTGTATTGAATTTACAGGAAAAAGGAAGGAACCTCCAAAGGTAATCCAAGTTTCATATTTTGTACGTGTAAACTGATCCAGCCCTGTGACTATTTCCTTATGATGAAGGGGTTTACTAGTAAACAAATCTTTACCCAGTGGAAAATTAAGAGTTTTCTTTTGAAAAAGAACGTACTGAACTGCGTAACTGTTTTTAGGGTTGATAGTATTATAATTGAAATATATAATATGGTCTTTGATTAGTTTGTAGTGCATCTGTGGGTACGGATAGGTAGGAATTTCACAAAATTTATTCTTAACATTCCACAAGTGTGTCCCTATTATTTAACTAATTGTTTACGCACTAAATCACACGACTATTCGACTTATTTTTACTTAACCCACAATTCCGATTCACTAGCCTACGGGTACAGATAAGAACAACACACACAGCCAAACACACACAATCAAAAAACACAACATTTAACATAGAACACCTACTTTACGGAGAGTCCTTCTTCCCATATTCTTGTAACGTGACACCAGTCATCGTCGTAAGCCAGTACTACCAAAGGAAAACAGTTCCACGTGACGAAGAACAACGGACCGTCGACGGTACGCCCATATACGTCCATTCTGACCTTCTTCGTTAATTTAGGTTACATATAGGACTCGAGTTTGCATAAACTTAAGACTTGAATTAAAATAAACACAACGTCTGTACTTTCACTGACACCCGGTCTTAAAACACTGCGACTACACCGTCTTTCGGCTGGGGTCCGGCCTATGCAGGTGAAGAGGTCAGACCCATTGACAAAAGGGTTGATCGAGAGTCGTCCTCTCCCGATGAAGATACACCTAGGAGTGACTGAATTGAAAATCCTCTGACCATACACACTATATATAAAAACATTTGGACGTTCGACCTCAGACGCGATATAAAGGTCTGTCGAGAGAGTACCCCCTAAGAAAGAAGAGAGAATTGTCCAGTGGCCCTACGCGGCCCACATGTCGTGTACTAGACTGGAGCACGAAACGCCGAAGAATGTAAACCGTGAGTGGGTGGGTAACAGCTACGTATACTCTCCAAACAAAAGTATGGTGTGGATTCCCACGATTTCCCACTGTAATGAGAATTGCATGGTTAAGGTTACACCGTAAAAGCGTACCGGGACCCTTTCAAGTTAAACGAAATTATTCGAAGAGGGAGAGTTCTCGTGCTCTTCGCTACCGCGATGGCAGGGCTTTGAAACTACAGTAGTCCATATTTCAGAACTTCGACGAATATCTGTTACCTTACCCTCTGCACTAAACCCCTTAGATGTCGGACCAAAGACAAGATAAGGGTAATCGAAATAGATAACTTCATAAGAGTGTTTTTTACATGTAAATACTCTTGTTAGGGATTCCATGTGACACAAGGGTAAGTGACCAGTTACTCAAAAGGGTATCAAAATTAACTTGTCGGCTTGTAAACTCAGTAGAGATAAAAACGCTAAAACCTTCTTCCGAAAATCCGAACCGCATTCTCAAGTATCGATCTCTATACGTTAAGGACTTCCTTTACGATCACCAACCGTTACTGAAATACGACTACGCTTAACGATACGAATTTACATTATATCATTCTTCTTTCACTTCCTTAAATCTACACTTTACTACTGATACTTGTGACCCCCGAACTTACACAATCTTCTTTTATTTCACCTTTCCGTCGTTACAAACTTGAGCGCCCTGATAAACTTGATTCGAACTTACTGATACTAGACAGCGGTAGCCGTTGCCTAAAACGTGGGGGTAATACGAATATATACACGTACCGCAAGAGCAACAAATAGCTTAGGACAATGTAAAACCCGCTCAAAACTCGCAAAAGTGACTTCTCTTGGTACAAACGTACCGGCTCGTAACCACAAAATGGCTACCGTTGCCTTAAAACTTCTTTAGAGTTGACAAGGGCAACTCCACACGAAGTGCCGACGAAATCGTGTGTACACCTCAAAATCTAGTGAAAAACTGGTTAAAGGATTCTCAAATAATCGTTATAGCACACAATACGTTCCCTACGCAAGGGTACCGTTGTCGCAAGACTCCTTATAGTGATTACCGTGTCAATACAACTCCCGAGCTGGTAATTGACAGTAGACTTCCAGACCAGACCACAAAACCTGGTGAAAAGTATTAGTCAAATGCTGGTGTTAAGCACAAAAACCGCCTCCTACGCAAAGTACCTTTGTCGGATACCACTCCAGAGTCTAAAACCGCATCTCGACAACTTCCGGTACCTGCCACTATATGTTCGACTCTAACCCGCGCTAGCCTGACACAGGACCGCCAATGTCGCTGTAGCACAAAATTACCGCGACTACCCCTACGCAAAGGTACTACCTTTGCCGTATCCTACTTTGGGGTATTGAACTGTATCTCGACCAACTCCCGGTCAGTAATTGGTCAATAGACTCAGACCACGACAAAGATCGGAAACGGAAATCCATAGTGCTGTGTAGCACAACATTCCGGCCTCCCTACGCAAAGGTACCACTCAGAGTCTAAACCGCATGTGGTAACTCGTATGCCACAATGTTCCTTCTAAGCCCCATGCTAACCCTGGCACCAGGTAACTCAATGTCGCGTAGCACAAATACGCTCCCTAAGCAACACGTATCATTGGGTGTAAGAATTGTAGTCTAAACTACATTCGACAGTCCCGGTGGGTCACAATTGGTAGTACACCACTACCACCGCAAGACTCGTACAGTCACCTCAATACTGGTAGTAGTAACAAAGTAGTGTGTCCACACAAACTCGATTGCTTCAATACTTTGTGGACAGGAACTCGGGTCTCTAGTTTCCAAAGGTACCACTACACGTCAATAGTCACTCCTCCTCTCGGAAAGGTAACAAGACTTACTCTCCGATTTGCACAACGTACACTTTCAACAACTTCTTGGCATTGTATAATAGCCACTTTAAAAGTTGCACACTTCGTAGAGTTCTTGGGAAACCCGTAGACTTCACACGAAAAAAACAACAACATCAACAGTTATTACACCGTAAAAACGTCTGATTGATTTCCACACGCCGACGAACGACACCCTTCTACCCGGACTTACATGTTGCACGAAATTACCTCGATGCTCTACAAAAAGATGCAAAAGAGTACTCTTTACCTACAGAGCGTCCTCACATCCCAAACCCTTAAAACCGTCCAAATTTTTGATATATATACTTCCGCTTGAAGTTCGCCCAGGAGGTGAGATCGGACACTGAGTTCGTGGAGATCGACCGACTCGGACACTCTCTGAGATCGTAATTGCTCGACGCGTTATGTGTGATTACAATTTAGACTTCTCCGGAATGTTCCAGACTCGTTACAAATTATAAAGATTTCATACTTAGACTAAACTTTCAACAAATTATACTTATTACAGTCTTCTACACATGTAAATTTCCAACTTACTACAAAGACTCACTTTCACACTTCCTTGTCAAACGTCCAACTTCAACGTACTGCTAAAAAGTTCAGACTTCTCAAAGAGGAACTGAAGGTACAATTTTTACACTATTTAATACCCTACATAGAGCCCTTAAATACTTACTTTCATTATAAACTTGCCTCAAAGACGCTACACCCTCTTCTTCTGCCTGTTTTATTGGGCCGCCTTATTCCTTATTTCTTAAACAGGCCATCTCATCCTCATTTGTTCGAACCGTGATTATTCAAGTTATCAAAGTGAAAACGTCGTAAAAGACATGGTAAGACGAAATAAAACACGTCCGGGTTTCTGACCATACGATGCTAGATACTGGGCCACAAATTTTGGATGTCAGATCCTCTAGACGTCAAATTGTAACCGGAATACTTACCACCCATTTGTTGTACTCTTTGAGAGATGCTTGCCGTCGAGAGGGACTGAAAACATTGAATTACTGAGAAGGAGACAAATGACGGGATCTGCTGAAGAGTCCGGGACGACTTAGATGTGCGAAAGGAGACCCGAGGTAGTAGGGGTAGTACCGATCACACCACGTCTTGTGGGTAGTCGGGAACGACGACGAAGAACTCCTTACACATCGTCGATGGGTGTGGTCTCGACATGGGACTTTCGTGGTACATGGGATAGTTAGAGGTTATTTCCCATGAGAGTACCGTTACTCGTAACTAAATTTTTTTTTTTGTTTTGGAATAAAACCAGCTTTGGAACCATCATTACGATTATGTAAAAGAAATGGGTTGTCTTACAGAAAAACCTTTCACACAGCAGTGCTAGTTTTAAGTTGGTTCCGTTTTCAGTAGCC